AGCCGCCGCTGGGCAGCGCGCGCCCGCTGCGCGCGCCTGCCTTGTCACCGCCGCCCCCGGGCTGCCGCTCCCCGCAGGACAAGGCCGGCGTGCTGATTGTGGTGTCTGCGGGCAAGGACGGCGCGCTGACGGGCGGCGACGCCTTCATGTCTGCGCTGGGCGACGACCTGATTGACAGCGTGGTGGGGGAGAACATCCCCATCCTGACGGGCGAGGAGAAGTACAACGAGACCGTCACCAGCAGCGTCAGCCGCGTGGTGGCCAGGCTGACGGGCAAGGAGGACCCGGGCCCGCCCTTCAGGTGTGTGTGTGGGGGTGGGGCTGCAGCGGCTGGGGCAGCCTGGTTGGTGCATTGCGGGAGCGGAGGAGGCGGCTGCACTGGGCGGGGCGGGGCTGGCGGCGGTGTGGCCGGGCTGCCGAGCGCTGTGCTCCTGCGTTGTGTGTGCTGGGCGGCGCGTGCAGGCAGGAGTTCCGGCGGGAGCGGACGTACAAGACCAAGGCTGAGACGGAGGCCAAGAAGCCCGTCACCGCCACCATCGTCGTCACGCTGCTCGTCATCTCAGGCACGAGGCCGGGTCTGGGCTGCCGGGGGCGCGCGACGGTCACCCGGCGTGTGCTGCGCGGTTGGAGGTGCTGCCTGGCTTGTGTGTGGGAATGCTGCCTGGCTTGTGCGGTTGGGTGCTTCTTGGCTTGTGCATGGGAATGCTGCCTGCCACGCCTGACTCGCTGCTGCCCCCGCGTGCCGCCCTGCGCAGTTGTTGTGCCCATGCTCCAGTACTATGGATACACGAACAAGGATTGAGCGACTGCCGTGCCATGTTTTGCTGCCAACACTTTTGAGAAGAGACAAGCCAACTTGCGACCCTTTCAATTTTCCCGCTCATATGGAATCACATATGTAAGAAGTGCATTGGACCACAGCGCCAGGGACAGCAGGAGGCGTGCTGTGGGGATTGTGTTGGGGTGTGTGCATTGTGTTGCCCCCTGATGTGGCACCCTCCCGATTGGGCAACCCCCGCCCCCGCTCGCTCCTGGCAGCCCGCGCGGCGCTCCCCTCCCATACGTGAACTGACCCCATAGAGCCATGTTTGAGGGTTGAGCGGGGCGGAGCGGGGCTGCTTGCACACGTGATGGCATGCACGCTTCAACGCTCCCGCTGTCATCTCACCTCTCTAGCGTCAGAAATACAACTCTTACAAGCCAACCAACACGAACAGAGAGACCGAACAACAGAAATGAACAGGAAATATGAAGCCGCCACAGGCGGCAGCACCTTTCAGCGGAGACGGCAAAGCGTACAAGGCACACTTCTTCAATGGTTCTTGCAATTGCCACCCTTACCGGTTATACAGCCACAGTGCCGCCCACACCGCGCACCATTCTTCTTGCAGCTGCAGTTCCGGGTGCAGGCGCCGCGGCAGCCGCAGCGCACGGCTGCCTTGCCGCCGCCGGGCTGCGCCGCCATCGCCACATTGAGAGACACCACAGGCACTCCTCGCTGCGCCGTGCCGCTGAAGGTCAGCTCGCTGGCCAGGCTGGGTGGCGCCTTAGATAGCCTGCTGGCCTGATGCATACCCTCCACCACTCCAGCTCCGCTCCGCAGCCGGTACATGGTCACGCCAAAGGGCCGCTTGATCTCCACCACGCGGCACACGAT